TTTGGCGCTCTACATTTCCAATGTTATATTCCTACCAAATGTGAAATCTTGAATTTGTGGAAACTGGACAGTGGACTTTTTTTTCCTGTTTTTTCATTGTTACATATATACGTAGCTTTTTTTAAATTTTTATTTTATCCCGTGCATGTAGCGTTTGATACCCATACATCACTTTTAAAAAAAAATAGGACATGTATCGTATTCATTCTTAGTATCATACTATACGGGAATGATCAGCCCGATACTTTCAGTAAACGATCAGACCGATACTTTCAGTAAATAATCATACCGATACTTTCAATAAATAATCATACCGATACTTTTAATAAATAATTAGACCATTACTTTCAGTAAATAATCAGACCGATACTTTCAGTAAATAATCAGACCGATACTTTCAGTAAATAATCAGACCGATACTTTCAGTAAATAATCAGACCGATACTTTCAGTAAAAATCAGACCGATACTTTTAGTAAATAATCAGACCGATACTTTCAATAAATAATCATACCGATACTTTTAATAAATAATTAGACCATTACTTTCAGTAAATAATCAGACCGATACTTTCAGTTAATAATCAGACCGATACTTTCAGTTAATAATCAGACCGATACTTTCAGTTAATAATCATACCGATACTTTCAGTTAATAATCAGACCGATACTTTCAGTAAATAATCAGACCGATACTTTCAGTAAATAATCAGACCGATACTTTCAGTAAAATATTAGTCAATAATTTCCCACTTAACTCACAACCAAAGTTTTATTTCGTGCCCGATGTTTTTGATTGTGTTTAAACCGAGAAATATAAATAATCTAAATTAAGATAAAACTTAAATGATCTTCAAGCTGTAACTTAAATCCATTAGAACTTGGGTGGAGCTCAAGGACCTAGTCTTGGGATAGGGGCCATGAGAAAACGACCGGCCATTAACTCGGTGAGTCGTATTCATACCTGCATCACGATCTGGTCGTAAATGTCAGGGGCGCATTTCAGCCAGACATTGAAAGCTACGACCACCGTGTTGTCAGTATCAGGCCAACAACAAGTGGCAGAGGCGTCCCGCACCAACTGGCAGCACAGGTAGACCACATTAACAAGCAGCATAGGCGGACCACATCATCAAACAGCAGAGGCGAACCACATCATCAAACTGTATTGGCCGGCCACATCATCAAACAGCATATGTGGACCACATCAACAAGCATCGTAGGCGTACCACATCTACAAGTGTGATAGGCTACCACATCATTAAACTGCATATGCGGACCACATCAACAAGCATCACAAGCAGATCACATCAGCAAACAGCATTGGCGGACCACATCGACAATTATCATAGGCAGCCACATCATCAAACAGCATTGGCGGACCACATCAACAAGCATCATATGTGTACCACATCTACAAGTATGATAGGGTACCACATCATTAAATAGCATATGCGGACCACATCAAGAAGCAGCATAGGCGGACCATATGCTGAAATCCGCATGGCATGGAAAGTGCAACTGGAAGAATGATCGTGGGGGGGGGGGCGGGGCGCTGAAATGTACTCCAAACCAGAGTACAGTTCGATTGCTGTTTTTATTTACACATGTTTCTTGCCTTCTAGAGTTGTTGGTGTCAACCATAATCAGCGGCGTAACAAGGAAGTTCGGCGTTTTCGGTCAACTGCAGGGGGGTGTTGTAAGAGGGGAGGCACATTCTTTTTACCCGCCCCGATGGCGCTAACCCCAACCAAGTCGCTGATCACAATGCAAACTCAAAAATAGTACGCCATAGGTTTGTGTGTATGCGTATGTGTGTATCTATGTATGCATATATGTGTCTGTCAATGAGTGGGGGAACCCGAGTGGGAATAAAAGTTTAGGGCAGTATCGCTATGGCATCAGAAGCCCAATCATTGTGCACGACAGAAGTCACGTGGTTAAACGTGTACGGGAAAACGAAAGTCCTGGTAGAATAAGGTTATTGAAGGTCACTTGCCATTTAGTTGTTTATTTACAGTTTTATAAACATCCTTATATTTACAATTGTGTGGGCTTTAAAGAGAGAGAGAGAGCGAGAGAGTTAGAGAGAGAGAGATGGTGAGAGATAGAGAGCGATGTTAAGAGTTAGATAGATAGATAAAGAGAGATAGAGAGACTATAAGATGAAGTTAGAGCTCTAAAAAGAGAGATAGACAGAGAGACGTAGAGAAAGGGAGAGATATGGAAGATAGAGAGACGAAGAGAGAGAGAGTTAGAGTGATGAATAGAGAGATAGAGAGAGACGGAGAGGGCGACAGATACAGAGATAGATAGACAGGTTGAAAGAGAGAGAGAGCGAGAGGCAGTAAATGCAACTAAGAATATGGAGGAGAGAACAAAAAACAGTGAGGCGAATGACAACGCCAACCCTGTTTAGAGGTAGTGACTGTTCATGTGTCCCAGGTGCTTCCTCATCTTCATCATACCTCTGACATATGGCCTATCCTAACAAAATGTGTCTGAATGAGCGCCTTCATAAAAGGACTCCTGCTCGTGCTGTGCTGATCTTCCCAGTTTTAATAAAGACCCGTCAGATGTGAACGAATGTTCATTGGTATAACTCGACTCTTGGGAGAAGGCTGGGCCCCCCTCTAAGAGCAAAGTGTAAAGTATATCCTGGTACAGTAGCCCAGTATCATCTGTCCCTTGAGTATGTTACTTCTCCGAATATTTACCCTCCTTCTTTCAATGCTCGACCCATAAGTTGGATCCTTATAAAGGTACACGATTAACAAGTACACAAACTGTGGTGGCAAGGTCTGGTGGGACTCCGTCTGTCCCTAAAGATTAGCAAAGTTCTTGCAAAACAAAAATAACTCAGCACGTGATAATCATCTGTTTAGAATTAAAATGGCCTGAACATGCAATGAAAGAGACAGTAGGTGTCGGGGAATGGTCAAATAGGGAATCTTGACTGGACGACATAACTAAGGGATGGCATGACAGAGGGACGATATAACTGAGGGACGGCATGACTGAGGGATGACATGTCTGAGGAATGAAATGATTGAGGTACGATAGGACTAAAGGACGGCCTGACTGAGGGAAGACGTGACGGAGTGATGGCATGAGTAACGGATGACATGACTGGGGGATGACATGACTGAGGGACGGCATGACTGGGGCATGACATGACTGGGGGACGACATGACTGAGTAAAGGCACCACACTGAAGAATTCCGTCGGGAAAACGTGGACTCCCAGCGCCTGATCAAGCTGTTAAGACATAAGGGTAGGCATCTCCTGGATCTGGGTGGGAAAAAACGCCACAGTCAAAACCAGAAATAACCAAGGGTGATGAAGACTAGTGGCAATGTGGAGTATTAAAGATGATATATCATATAGTGTATACACATCTTCATGTATTGTACACGCTCATCCTGGCTGCGCTGCTCCAACTTGTTTATATATTGATATAGATGTATATATTATGTCAAAATATAGCGGATATTTAGATTGTTATCGATTTTGTTAACAGGAGTAATACAAAGGTCGTATGTTAGGTGAACACATTATTTCAGCATGCTTGCCGTTTAAGGGGAGCGCGTTTATGTAAAGACGTGTCCTTCTTTTGAAAACAATCGATCCAGTTCTTCATCTGAATAAAAACTGAAAGTTTGTACTTAGGAAACAGCTTTATTTACAACTTGATGATTTCTTGAGACGATATGGAATGATGCCATAAAAAAAGCATATACATCCTAAAATATGTAATTATAGCATATGCAGTGTATAGAAAATACCACCCCCCCCCAAAAAAAAAAAAAGCAAAAAATAATATTTTAAACCAGGACTTACTACCCCTCCATCCCCATCTACCTACACCCACGCATGAATCTAAGAAACAGGGCACAATTAACTTGAAAGTTTGAGAAACACTGATTTATAACATCCGGGTAAACATTTATGAAAAACGATTTATTGGAAATACTTATTTTGACTTGTTTCCCAACCATTTGTCAATGCCCCCCCCCCCAAAAAAAAGTGGCTTTTTAGACCAAGAAATTTTTGTTAAAGTTAATACAATTTTGATTCACAGGATTTAATGGAAAACGATATATTTGCATGACCATGTGTTTGAGTTTCCAATATCCCTCAAAAGTTTAAAAATATCAATGGGAAATAAAGAGCAAGGCGTCTCTTCAACTAAATATTGGGAGAGCTCAAAGGAAAAAAACGAGACAAATTTCAGGTGGTCTTTGATGATAAGGTGGTCTTTGATGGTAAGATGGCAGATTACGTTAATTGCAGAGGCGTATCTCCATTAAATAGTTTACTGGCATGGCTTAAATGTATCAAGGTTGAAGTGAAGGGCGTATCGCTTTTAAACGTGCTATTGGTTGCTGTCTGTGTCAAAGGTGCATTGGAGTAGTGTGTCTCTGTAAAAGGTGCATTGGAGTAGTGTGCCTCTGTAAAAGGTGCATTGGAGTAGTGTGTCTCTGTAAAAGGTGCATTCAAGTGGTGAGTTCTATCAAAGGTGCAGTTAAACGACTATAGCTTTCAAGCGTGCTTTTGGGAAGTGTGTCTGTATCGGAAGGTACGAGGTAGGGGGGTGGTAGTGTATCAAATGGTGCTGCTCGGTTGAGAACGATTTTTACAATGCATCTATCAACTTACATCATAGAACGTCCTACGCCATTTTTTATAAAAAAAAAAAAAATTAACATATTTTTAAGAAGCTAGTGAACTCTAGATGACTGTTCACAATATATGCTTTACAAAATTAATAACTGAATTAAAACAAAACAAATCAGAAACTGACTTGCTGAATTATATAGTGTGAATGGAGTCCCGTGAAGTTTTGATTCTTTAGTTCGTGGGATTATAAGGGAAGTTTTATTGAAAGAAATGTAGCCCCTACAATTAATTCTCCTTCCAGGTAACCATTGCGTTTGCCCTTTTTAGAGGCAATAAAACCTCCCGACGCTTTCCAGCCGCATATTGACACATGTGTAGGTGAGGGGGCTGCTTTTTTCAGGGGGTGGGGAAGGGAGGTTAGACACGAAGAAAACAAAGCTGGTCGTGGCTTGTGGTTGGTTTAAAAAAATGAATAAATTGAGACCCGGCATGGCGCGGAAGTAGTACAACGATGCGTGGTAACGGCGAGAGATCGAAAGAGACAACACATCGGAACGTGTTTTTGGCGTCATCGGTTCGTGAGTACATCTCAGTAGCTTTGTGAGGGGGGGGGGAGACACTTATGTATTCAATTATACCATGTGATTTTGGATGTTTCCTTTACAGAGCTTTCAAATCGTGATCAAGTTGAACTGTAAAAAAAAAAAATTATTTGATTAATCTGAAGGTTTAACTTTTCATTCAAGCTCCCAAAGAGAATGAGGAACTGGGTCGAAAAACATCAAGATTTTGTTGAATGTATTAATCACAAAACAAAATTTGTTTCATAATTAGGGCCGACATATTAATTGACTATTTTAAATATATTTTGCCCCAAAAAGATGAAATAATTTAAGTTAGGGCCTATTATAAAAATTAAAGGAACATATATTAATTTTAAATTCCTTGAAGAGCATTGTCTGGAATTTCATTGATTTGAATTTCATTGACTTGAATATAATGACTTAAATAACAATGACTGCATAAGCACTATCTGAAATAGCACAGGATTGAATATCATTGTCTGAAATAGCATTGAATTGAATAGCTTTGACTTGAATAGAATTGACTCGAATAGCATTGAACAGAATAGCATTGATTTGAATTGAATTAACTCGAATAGCATTGAATAGAATAGCATTGACTGTTGGAGCAGTGACCTCAATAGCATTGACTGTAAGAGCATGGCATTGAATAGCAATGACTGGAATAGCGTTGACAGGAATATCATTTGCGTGAATACAATAGACCTGCATTGCTGAGACTTGCATTTTAACCTTTTTAATAACTTATAAGTTACTAGATGTTCAAATTTCATGTATCTAATTCTTCTCTCAATCATGGCCGTCAGAAAGTGAATATTCAACGTCTTGCCTTGGAACCTAACGGTTATAGTTTGACAGCTGCTTGAAGTCTAGGTGAACCTATCTTTCATGTTTGACAGCTGTTTGATGGGTATGGGAGCCTAATTGTCATAGTTTAGCAGCCCCAACCAGATCTAAGGCTTGAGTCGATGTTTTCCTACATAGCAGCAAGGTTATGGAGAAAAGTGATCTTTTCTTCCCCAGATTGACTAATAAAAAGGCAACGAAGCAAGAAAGCAAGCAAGTAAAGACGCAGGACAGCTCGGAATCAAGATAGTGATAGTGAAGGGGATAACCACGAAGCCAAGAGAGGACGCAAACAAGGACACAAGTAAAGTAGGAAAGATAGAAAGAAAGATAGATGGGCAAGTCAGTAGGTAAGCATTAGCGTAACACTGTTATTCTATTGTATGTTAAAACTCTTGACAATTCGGAATTGATGTAGCCAGTTGTCATTGAGACACACACAGATACTTCTGTTTTAGATCAGTTTGGCATTGATGTAACCAGTTGTTACTAGGATACGCAAATCCATTGCCATTTTCCATCGTTTATTTACGAAACAAAACTCGGGGTAAACTAGTGGTATATTTAAAAGATACTGTTCTCGTTTAGAGGCAAATGAAAAAGAATAGAAAATGAAACTTGAAATAGGACTGATTAACGTACCCTTTTACTCTGCATGTGGATTCTGAAGAGAAAAACCCCCACCAAGTTTAAACATATGCTTATTCTTTAAAAAAATAAATTGTCAATGATATTCCTTTTTATAGAATTTATATATATATATATATATATATATATATATATATATATATATATATATATATATATATATATGTGTATATATATATATATATATGTGTGTGTGTGTGTATGTGTATTTATATATATATATATATATATATATATATATTAAAATGTCTTTCAGGATTCCTCTTGAGCTTGGCGTTTTATGCAGGTACGTACGAACAATTAACGCGCTTAAAAAAAAGTCTCGCGACTTTAATTACTTTATTGACACATTTTCATAGACCTTATGCAATTCAAATAGTTTCATGGTAAAAGGCCGTACGGCACATGTACATGTGATTGCTGGATCTGGATGAATCTATCAATACTATCAATAGATTTATTTTATCTATACATCTTACAGGTGTTGCAGCTGCTAAGGGCGCTAATGGTGCGAACGAAACCTCAACTGCAACATCCTCAACAGCTGATCAAAGTGCGTCCAATGAAACTGATCAGCTTTTGTCAGATTCATCAGAATCAATACAAGATTATGAAGCTGTGTCAAACGCATCAGCATCAGTCTCAGCAACGTCGACCCCAATAGAAAAAACTCATTTGGCTACAACAGACTCCAGCGGTAAGTAAAGAGAGTATCTATGAAAGTATACACTTCGTTTTCAGCACTACTAAATGTCTGACTGGTTATCGTCATGATGTTTTAGGAGGCGACACTGTCAACGACGGGTGGTAACATTAACGTTTCACTTGTGTGGACAATGCGTCGTAAACCTTTTTTTTAAATAGCACAAATTCTTTGCTCTCATGTTAACAAAATTGACTTGATTGTTTTATAATGTTGTGTTCTGCCTTCAAAGTAGCTGAAGGACTCTGACAGGCAACTGGAAAATATGTTTTATGTTTTTGTATATTATCTTTCGTCCTTCACGTAGATGGCCAAGGCAATATTCGAATTGAGCTATGACCATGACATCAGAAGAAGCTTTGATTTGATTTGTAGCCTTGACTTGAGTTGTAGCCATGTCTTGAATATAGGCCTTGCCTTGAGGTGCAGGCCTTGACGTGTGTAGGAGCCTTGACTTGAGTTTAGCCTTACTTGAGAAATAGCCTTGACTTGAGTAGTAGCCTTAACTTGAGTGGTAGTCTTGACTTGAGTAGTTGTCTTGACTTGAGTAGTAGCCTTCATTTTAGTGGTAGTCTTAACTTGAATGGTAGTCTTGACCTGAGTAGTAGCCTTCATTTGAGTAGTAGCCATGACTTGAGTGGTAGTCTTGACTTGAGTAGTTGTCTTGACCTGAGTAGTAGCCTTGACTTGAGTGGTAGTCGTGACTTGAGTAGTAGCCTTGACTTGAGTAGTAGCCTTGACTTGAGTAGTAGCCTTGACTTGAGTAGTAGCCTTGACTTGAGTTGCAGCCTTGACTTGACTATTAGCCTTTACTTGAGTAGTAGCCTTGACTTGACGAGTAGCCTTTGCTTGATTAGTAGCATTGACTTGAGTTGTAGCCTTGACTGCAGGAGTAGCCTGGACTTGAGTAGTAGCCTGGACTTGATGAGTAGCCTGTACTTGAGTAGTAACCTTAACAAGAGTGAAACACAAAAGACAAATTGCTGGTCATCTACTGCATCCTGGTCTATTTCTTGTCGTCTTGACTAAGTCTTGCCCCTGGATCAAACTGGCAGGGACGAGAGTTGAGGCATATCTGTATATGATAAAATTATTCAACATTATTCTGTGCTCCCAATTTTATGTGTGCCAGCCTCTGTTGTATTTCCATTTATACGCGGCACTGTATTAACAACGTAGAGAAAAAAAAACTCTGGTCTGCACTACGTTCATTGTACAGCCGCTTCCGTTTTCTAAAGTTTGGCAGATCTGCAAATATGTTTGGCATCAGATGTGCACAATGCACTTTGAGCCACGATCAGAAGCTCATTATAGGATTAATTAGCATATATCTTTTCCCCATTGCAGAAAATGAGACCACCGTCCTAGGCAATGTGACCACCGTCCCAAACGGAGAAGATGGATCAAATGCAACCACATCAGCTACACTGGAGCAGACAACAAGTAAGTCATGGATCTTGGATGTAATCTAAAGTACCTAACAGAGGGCTAGCAATGGCTGTTGTCTTAAGGCTTTACATATTAAAAAGTATGTAACATCTCTGGTATCATCTCTGGTGTCATCTCTGGGTTAATGTTTAGTTTCAACACCTATGGTCTCACCTATCGTCATATCTCTGGTTTCAACTCTGGTAATGGCTCTGAACTCATATTTGGTCTCACGTCTGGTCTCAACGCTGGGCTCAACTCTGGTCTCATCTCGGTTCTAATTTCTAGTTTCAACTTGGATCTCATCTCTGTTCTCACCTTTGGACATGTCTCTGGTTTCAACTCTAGTTTCAAATTTGGTCTCATCTCTGGTCTCATATTTTGTCACCTATGTGGTCGCATGTCAGGTCTCAAGTCTTGTTTCATCTCTGATATCAACTCTAGTTTCAACTCTAGTCTCATCTCTGGTCTCTTATCTAGTCAAATATCTGCTATCATGTCAGGTCTCACGTCTGGTTTCAACACTTGTCTCAACTCTAGTCTCATCTCGTTTATAATTTCTAGTTTCAACTCAGATCTCATTTCGGGTCTCACCACTGGTCATTTCTCTAGTCTCATATATGGTCCCATGTTTGATCTCATCTCTGGTATCAACTCTAGTTTCAATTCCAGTCTCATCTTTGGTCTCATATCTAGTCCCATAAGTGCTCGCATCGTCTCTCGTCTGGTCTCATCACTGGTCTCAACTCTATTTTCAACTCTGGTCTCATCCCTGGTCTCAAAACTAGTTTTAACGCTTGTCTCATAAATATCTTGTCTCATCTCTGATCTCCAGTCAGGTATTTGACTAACTCCGCAAAGAGACGACTTCAGCGGTAGCCTTTCGTCAGATGAAAACACTCGAAAGCCCCATAACTTAACTTTATTTCTTTCTCCATAATATGTACATACCTTCGGAATGGGATTAGAAAAAATCTTTCGCTTCTCTATGTTCGACTCAAGCTAAAAAGTTTTTAAAACTCCAATACTTCATTTACTGTATTATTAACTGCTAGTTTAAAGTTTGATTTCTCTATAAATGCCGTAGTCCACTTTCGCACAAATGTATTGATGTTCATTGTTTATTTTCAAACGACATTGGCGGAGAACCAGATCATACATTTTTTATTTTTTTTTGTTGCACAATCTACTTTTAAAAGAGAACCACTTGAGTGAAGCTGCAGACACGGCTGTTGTACAATGTACATTTAAAGCTGAGCCACTTCAGCCAAGTTGCTGGCACGGCTGTTGACGAGGGAGAGATCTTCACACATAAAACGAGCAGACGATAAAGACCTACCCTGTGACCTCCCAAAACTACCCTCTGAACTCCAAACACTCACTCTTCAAACTCTCTATGCGACAATCATTTTACGACTCTCCCCCTCTTCGACCCTCTATGAGAATTGTAGTCATGTAGGTTACAGTCAACTCTTGTTGATTCCAGGGACGTTACGATAACTCTTTACTTTATGTTATCTGTTATTTGTGTTTATGTGTGTGCGCCAATCTCTGTTGTCTTTTCATTTATTTATTTACGGCACTGCAAACTCTAGACTGCACTTCGTGCCTCATACGTTGCTTCGCAGTCCTAATCTTTAGATGCTATATTGGTCGATTTGGCATCAGATTCTCTAAGCGGCAGCCAGCAGCTTACAATAGACGTTATCAACATGTATATTTACTCTTTCCCAGACAATGGTACCACCGCCCAAGACGACGAATCGGGATCGAATACAATCACAGCTTCTACTGCACTGGAACAGACAACAAGTAAGTTATGGTTCTTGAATGTCATTTGGAGTCACTATAGGATTGTTTGCTGGGGCCTTGTTGTAATACAATGTTGTAGTACGATGTTGTAGTATTATGTTGCAGTACAATGTTGTAGTACCATGTTGTAGTACCATGTTGCAGTACAATGCTGTAGAAGCAAATCGTAGCACCATGTTGTTGTACCATGTTGTAGTCCCATGTTGTTGTACCATGTTGTAGTTCAATTTGTAATACCCTGTTGTAGTACCATGTGGTAGTTCCATGTTGTAGCACCATGCTGTAGTACCAAATCGTAGTACCATGTTGTTGTACCATGTTGTAGTACCATGTTGTAGGATCATGTTGTAGTACCATGTTGTAGTACCATGTTGTAGTACCATGTTGTAGGATCATGTTGTAGTACCATATTGTAGTACCATGTTGTAGTACCAAAGCGTAGTACCATGTTGTAAGACTCCCCCAGATCCCAACGTACAATTCACTGGACGCCGTCCTAACTTTTGATGAGATACAGACAGCGATCCGCCAAATGTCCAATGGCAAAGTACCTGGCCCGACATGATTCCTGCCGAAATCTACAAGGAGGGTGGACAAGCGCTGACGGATAAGCTATTGCGCTTATTCTAAATCATCTCGCAGACGGAAACTGTACCAAAAGACCTCAAGGATGCCTCAATTATCCACCTGTACAAACACAAAGCAAACCGCCAGGCATGCGACAATCACCGCGGAATTTAACTACTGTCCATTGCAGGCAAGGTCTTTGCCCGAGCACTTCTGAACCGCATGCATGCACATCTGGAGCTAGGTCCCCTACCCGAAAGTCAATGCGGTTTCCGCAAAAAGCGCGGAAACATCGATATGGTGTTTGCTGCTAGACAGCTTCAAGAGAAATGCCAGGAACAAAATTCAGACGTATATTCTACATTTATCGACTTGAATAAGACCTTTGACAATGTCAATAGAGGTTGCTTGTGGGAAATCATGAAGAAATACGGATGCCTAGACAAGTTAACCAAAATCATCCGTCAGCTGCATGATGGTATGATGTCCCGAGTGCAGGACAACAGTCAATCATCTCAAGCATTCCCCGTCACAAACGGTGTAAAGCAGGGTTGTGTTCTTCAGGAGAGGTATCAGACGAGAAACAAAGCTCAAGGTCTATAGCGCAGCAATCCTCCCGACACTGCTCTATGGATGTGATACGTGGACAGTCTATCAGCGTCACGCCAAGAAACTGAATCATTTTCACACTACCTGCCTCAGGAAACTCCTTGACATCAGGTGGCAAGACAAAGTCCCCGACACCAAGGTCCTCGCTAGAGCGAACCTACCTAGTATCTTCACAACTTTGATGCAGTCTCAGCTCCTTTGGATGGGACACGTAGCCCGTATGGAAGACCACCGGCTCCTGAAACAATTATTCTTCGGAGAACTAACGATAGACAAGCGCTCCAAAAGAGGCCAAAAAAAGCGTTACAAAGACTCACTGAAAGTGGCACTAAAGGCCTTCAACATAAACACTACTCAATGGGTGCAGACAGCCAAGGACAGAGCCAGGTCGAGACCTGCTGTCAAGAAGGGGGCTAAATCCCATGAAGCTAATAGAATAACCACAGCTGAAACATGCAGGCTTGTCCGAAAGAGCAACATTAGGTCACCGTCTGAAGCAAATATTCCATGCCCACAGTGTCATAGATTATTCTGAGCAAGGATCGGTCTAGCAAGTCACCTACGAATTCACAGTAATCCAAACCTTCCCCATTACGGATGATTCGATGGTCCTAGTCGACTTCGACGGACGAACAACAACTACAACCATGTTGTTGTACCATGTTGTAGTACCATGTTGTTGTACCATGTTGTAGTTCAATGTTGTATTACCATGTTGTAGTACCATGTCGTAGTACCATGTTATGGCACTAGGCCTTAAATATGCAGTGGACCATTTTCATGTTTTATCATTTATTTCTTAATTTATTTGGAAATCATTTAACTTCGTTTTTTGGTCACAACTCGGGTTTCTGATCGGGTGAATAGCTCCAACTCCGCAAGGTTACGTCTTCAACGGGAGAACGTTTGGCAATTGAATATGTAGAGACACTTACTACATAACTTAATTTCTTTGTCCATAAATATGGCATGGAGAACAGACGATGACGTAGTTAGGTACACATCAACGAATGGTGCACTTAGTCAATTCTGGAATGGCAATCTTGGCTGCATTTCCCGCAAGAGAATAGTGACTCCAGGTTAGATTTGGGCTTCCGTTTTATTCTTTTTGTTTCAAGGGCCTCATTTCGCGCATCTTCTGCCTTTTTGACTCCTTCACACACTGCTATTCGCCAGCTGGAACTTTGTTCACCAATGATCTACCATTCCTTCGATTTCAATGTTGGTTTCTCTTTTGCAAACGTCCATAAAACTCAGGCATGGCCGTCCAATAAGTCTTGCCCCTTCTGCGGACTCTCCATACAGCAGCTCCATGGGAATACAGCCTTCTTCCATTCTCCTCACAATGTCTAACCAGCGAAGGTGCCACTTCTGTATAGTTCTACTCTGACGTGAAGTATTTACACAACGATATAAAATACTTAATTCATAGTATTACCTACTGCTAGCTTTGATTCATTCGTCGATGCTGTAATCCACATTTTTGCTAATGTATTCATATTGAGTGTTTATTTTCCAACAGACCAAGGAACCGTGCTGTGTGTCTACGGTCCAGTTATTCTGGTGACCGCCGTCCGGAAGCTTCTCTGAGCGACTTGAGCAGCCAGCGGATCTGAAAGGGTGTCACTTTGAACAAGCAGAGATTGTGTGCGACGTTCAGGAGATCTGTAGCGAGGAAAGCTCCCTGCCAACAGATTTATGATTGACGTGACCTGTCTGGGCAGATATGCTGGGGATTTTTTTATTTTCATTTATAGAATTTCCGTAATGAATATAACAAGCGACCTTAACGTAACATTTTTTAGGGGAACGGGGGGGGGGGACGTTACATGTGTTGTAAGGACACTTTAAATGCTTTTTGGAAAAAATTGTTTCATAATGTTTGGTTTTTCGATTAAATCCCGTGTATGCATTGCTGATGGTTGAACATTTTGAAAATTTATTATCGTTTTAGGAATGATACTCAAACCAATTTCATTGCTGTAATCTTTAGGTTATTTGAAATGTGCCTTACAAATGCAAATAATTTGGATGAATAACATAAATTATGTAAGCCGATTAGATTCAACTTTTGCATTAATCTGAGGTTAGCCACACCAGAGTTTTCTCGTCCCCGTCCGCCACACTTGCCCCACCTTCATGTCAGCCTGGACAGTCTATTGACCACACAGTTAATGCTTGTTGCTGAGATGACAAAAATATTGAAAATAAGTCAAAGACAACGAAATTACGCTTAGTTACGACTTTCAGATTCCGTCTGTTTCGACTGTGTAGATGCAGCATATTTAAAACTTATATTTATTGAGCACACTTTTGCATTCATGCTGCCATATTTTGTTGATAAAGCATATAATTATACGTTTTAAAACTTTGGTTGTAAAATCCTCTGTAGCTAACAACTTGAAAAATGTGTTATTCCATATAGTTACCAACATGAACAATTTGTTATCCTTTGTAGTTAAAACTTGTTCAAGTTGTCATGACTCCTAAATGGTAAACTTTTCTATTTAAAATGTAAACAATTTTTACAAGTATATTTCCTTAGCCGCTTCTGTGTGTGTGTCTTCTTACTAGCTACCCCATTATTTGTACCTATACTTACATTCGCAAAAAAATGGTTGTGATGGAAACTAAGGGAGTGTGACACGATTTGCTTATTTTGGTGCCTACCAACAACATTTGATGATTATTGGTTATAACTTACGTCACCACTTAACGGTGACTCGCGGCTATTAACATCACCCCTTAATGGTGAATATCGGTACTTTCAAACACCACGACTCGAAGCCGGGAGTCGAAGCATTTGGTTTGAAGCGGAAAAAAGACAACTCCGGAACAGTGAACTCTGTGGTTTTGAAAACAAAATTTGACTCTCTACTTCGATCTCTCCCCTCTTTGAGTCCTTGTAATTTGGGCCAAAACAGTGGAGGGTGAGTGGGTGGAATGAAACATGTCACCAGATCCACAGTCGTATCTCCTCCCTTACATGAAACTGTATGCGGTAACCCACATTGCCAAAGTATTTTATAAGTATTAGAAGCTTAATTCTCAATAATTATTTTATCATTGATAAAATGTGACATTTCATTTTTTTTAAAATTATATTTTCTTATTACATGATTGCATTTCCTATCATGTGTGATTTAAGTCAACGATAAGGTGGCAGTTATTCGCCCTTGAATAACAAAAGTGATCTGTGATAAAAGGGAAATTGTATTTGAAAATTTTTTTAAATAACTGTTATATAATTTTTTCTTTTACTTTACAAAAAGAGCAAATGTACCTAAAAGTATTTGTTTCTGTAAGAAGTGGCTTCTGGGTGGAATATTTCAGAGAAAATAAAATAATGCTTACACATATTTTGTTTATTGTTTATCCTTGTTTTCCGTGTGTATTTAAATTATGAAGCGTTTTAGATAGTTAAATAGACCATGCTGAAATATAATTACCTAGTTATAGAAAAGGGTTCTAAAAAATGGTAAAGAAATTTAAATGAAAAGAGAGTCGTATGATTTAAAGAATAGGAGCCAGAATGATCAATCCATTGATGGTGGGCCCTCGAAATATAAAAGGAGAAGAAGAAAATATTAACGTAAAAAGTCCCTTAAAACCCATCATTTTAGGTCCGCCTATGACCTGTGATGCACCCTCCTTGCCATGCCTCATTTTCTGTCTCGGGTTGATCCTGTAGTATAAGCCTCCTCGTTTTATAGCCATTTCAACTGTTTCTATAGTATAGTAGTTACTACCCTAGTGTCTCATTTTTATTTACTTAGTTTACATGTTTTTAATAATTGTAAAGCGCTTAGAGCTTTAAGGTAAGCGCTATATAAATATACCTAAATAAATAAATTGAATATTTTAATTATGATGTATTCTCATATAAGAGACATAAGAGAAGTTGTTGAATAAACGGTGATCTAAAGTTGCATAACGACACATCCATGCGTCTTATGAACATTGTGAAAATAAGATGTGTACAGCAGTTCTTTTTTTCACTTAATTAAAATCAAACGACATTAGTTTATTAAGGAGATCTTCAACTACCTGTCAAGGCATTTGTTTACCTAACATGCGAGCATAAATGGTGGGGAAAAGAAAGAAAATAACTGTTATAAATAGTAAAATAGTGACAAATAATCTCATAATTTGCAATATATTTATCATAATGAATGACACGATTTTAATTGCTTTATGGAACATACAAGGTGCTCCGTTATGGCGGCCAAACTTCACAATTTAAAAAAAAAATCAAGCCTGCAATAATTGTATTTAATTCAAATCTATTCAATGTAAAACGACCACAAAGTATGAGGAATCGAACTGAATGAACAAAACAGTAGGAGGGAAAAAATGACTTTAGTGGTAGTGTAGTAAAGTCAATGACGTAAAATACAGATTGTCTAACAGTGTGGGGGGGGGAGCACTTACCCTAACTACGGTGGGGGGGGAGCACTTACCCTAACTACAGTTGATGGGGTTATTTTAGAGTGGTTTTAAATTCCAGTTACGTTGAAACTCTTCAGTGGTTTTCCAAATACATCAGTATTTTTTTAAACTTTATTTCCAAATTTACCTCAAATATATCCAGATAGAGTCTGTTTATGTTGTACATTTTAAAAATATTTTTTCCCAAATAAATAGATTGAATGGCTATGAACTAGATATATTCTAAAGACATCATATGAGTTATAAAAAATCGTAAGCAATTTTGTTTATAAACAAAAATAATTTTTAGTTTGCCGATCTCATTAATCTTTAATATAAAAAAAATGTACTGCATAATCTTGTTGAATTGCATAAGTTTTGTGTAAGGGCAGTATTTTCTTTAGAGATGTGTTTAGTTAAATTCTTCAACGATAATATTAATTTTTTTTTTTCAATTCTATTTCCTACATTTAATTGAATAAAAATTTACAAGATTCTAAGAAAACAGAAAGCATAAGCTCTTAGAATTACGGTGTATAAAAATGTACTTATTGTGATGTTAAGAATTGTAGTCATTTATTTGTATTTCCTTTTGGGACGACGAGTCGTCAAGAATTCGCTTTGTTAAGGAATGACTCCAGCATTTTAAAAAAAATAATTATAAACCATGTTATTTTAAAAGTGTACATTACACATGAAGCCACGTATGTTATTTTAAAAGTGTACATTACACATGAAGCCACGTATTATTTTTTGTATACTATGGACCTGCCATATCGGTTAACTTCTCATGTCTTTCTAATGTGCCTGCAGCAACACTACAAGGGGACATCATCTGTGTAAAATAAATATCCGCTTCCCTAATTCAGGTACTGGTCCTTTTCATTGCCTCTCGAACTTGTACGCTGTTTCGCTGTCTTTGTATCACTAATATTTCAACCTGTATCATTACTTAGATATCTGTTCACAGAGTTTCCAAATTTTAATCACGAATAAGAAAATATAATTTTTTTATGCCTTTGAACAAATAAACGAATAGGCGCTAATGAAAACTATACATGTCAACTATCTGCTTAGTTCTTGCTTCAGAGTTCAAATACAAAAACATTTAACAGCGATATGTATCGTGTATTTTTAAAAAATGAGGTATGGAAATCATTTTCATATCATAAAATAAAGATGTTGTCCTTCTCTCCCTCTTTTCATGACCTCTCTGTAATCATATGTTTAATCCAAATCATTAAAAAAAAGAGAGAAATAACAGTTGTTTATTTTATGGTAATCTTTCACTTGAGCGTACTTGTGAAAAAATCATGTTGTTCCGTTTAGAAGTGCTATTAAATTTTCTTTTTGTTTTTTGATACGATAAAGTTCTTTTATTGATCCAAATAAATAGAAATGTTCTTTATAGACCAAGTGCATATTCATTTTAGCACATACATAAAAGACAACATTTTTTCAAATAAAAAATTAAAAACAAATTTTTTTTTTTTTTTTTTTAAAGATAGAAACATATTTAAAGCTTAATGTCACATGGCCTAAAGTCTCACTCCCTTTCGGCCGACACCGAATTTAAACAGAAAGTTAAACTTTCAGTTCCAACCGAAACTAGGCCGAGAGTGAACAAATGGCAAAATTCGGCACCGAAACCGAAAAAGAAATTTAGTGGAACTCTACTGGAAGGATCTATCTCACTATGTGAGCCTGGAAGGATCTATCTTTCTATGTGAGCCTGGAAGGATCTATCTCTCTATGTGAGCCTGGAAGGATCTATCTCTCTATGTGAGCCTGGAAGGATCTTTCTCTATGTGACTCTGGAAGGATCTATCTCGCTATGTGAGTCGGGAAGGATCTATCTCGCTATGTGAGCCTGGAAGGATCTATCTCTCTATGTGAGCCCGGAAGGATTATCTCGCTATGTGAGTCGGGAAGGATCTATCTCTCTATGTGAGCCTGGAAGGATCTTTCTCTATGTGACCCTGGAAGGATCTATCTCGCTATGTGAGTCGGGAAGGATTTATCTCTCTATGTTAGCCTGGAAGGATCTATCTCGCTATGTGAGTCGGGAAGGATCTATCTCGCTATGTGAGCCTGGAATGATCTATCTCTCTATGTGAGTCTGGAAGGATCTATCTCTCTATGTGAGCCCGGAAGGATTATCTCGCTATGTGAGTCGGGAAGGATATATCTCTCTATGTGAGCCTGGAAGGATCTTTCTCTATGTGACCCTGGAAGTATCTATCTCGCTATGTGAGTCGGGAAGGATCTATCTCTCTATGTGAGCCTGGAAGGATCTATCTCGCTATGTGAATCGGGAAGGATCTATCTCTCTATGTGAGCCTGGAAGGATCTATCTCGCTATGTGAGCCTGGAAGGATCTATCTCGCTATGTGAGTCGGGAAGGATCTATCTCTCTATGTTAGCCCGGAAGGATTATCGCTCTATCTGAGCCCGGGAGGATCTATCTTGCTATGTGTCTCTTGAAGGATCTATCTCTCTATGTGAGCCTAGAAGGATCTATCTCTCTATGTGAGCCTAGAAGGATCTATCTCTCTATGTGAGCCTAGAAGGATCTATCTCTCTATGTGAGCCTAGAAGGATCTATCTCTCTATGTTAGCCTTGAAGGATCTATCTCTCTATGTGAGCATAGAAGGATCTAACGCTCTATGTGAGTCTGGAATGATCTATCTCTCTGTGCACTCCTGTAACGTGATCACTCGTCAATCTTGTACGTAAGCGATAAAATAGCGTGCACTCTCTCTTTCTATGTTGCAGACAATCCTGTCGCCCCCTCTCCACTGTACTATTAACGGACATCAATAAAAGAAGAACCGTTTAAACAGCACTCGAGACCGGAGGAATACTTTTTTTCATAACAGGCGCTTAAGTGATAGGTTAACACAAAGTAATAATACTAAAGAATGCTGATTTTTGAAAATGGGGATGTATACAAAATAATATCGAGCAAAGTCAACATGCATTAAATTGCGAGTTTAATACTTAAGTACTTAAACTTAGCACACAAATGAGAAAATATTTTTTGTTCGTATTGATTTAGCTCAACAGGCACCGAAAAATCATGTTTTAATGAGCGCTTACTTTCCGCCGCGTGTTAGGTGTGCACTGAACACAGAGTTCATTCCTCAAATGTATATTGCTCTCTTTTAATTACAATGTAAACTGAGTCTATTGTATACGCGCTGGCTTGTAGAGGTGTGCGATATAACACTGCACTGTTGCTTTGACTTGACTAAATATATAGGAATACATAGTGACTTTGGCTTGACTTAATATAGAATGAGATTCGTATGATAAAGTCGTTGATATAAATTTATTTTTTGGGGGGAAAGGGAGGCTGCGGGAAGGGGTTGTTTATAATTTCAAATTTTCCTTTCCTCCGATACCCACCCTCCCACCACTCCTCTCAATTCTGACCAGTCCTTTCAATCACACACCAGCCTCCCTAATACCCTCCCACCCATATCCTCTTTTGCTGTCCCCCATCACACGTGGCTCTCAAATACTCTCCCTCCCTTATCCTCTTTTGCTGTCCCCAATCACACCAGCCTCTCACATACTCTCCCTCCTTTATTCTCTTTTGCTGTCCCCCATCACACCAGTCTCTCAAATACTCTCCCACACTTATCCTCTTTTGCTGTCCCCCATCACACGTGACTCTCAAATACTATCCCTCCCTTATTCTCTTTTGCTGTCCCCCATCACACCAGTCTCTCAAATACTCTCCCACACTTATCCTCTTTTGCTGTCCCTCATCACACGTGACTCTCAAATACTATCCCTCCCTTATTCTCTTTTGCTGTCCCCCATCACACCAGTCTCTCAAATACTCTCCCTCCCTTATCCTCTTTTGCTGTCCCTCATCACACCAGCCTCTCACATACCCTCCCTCCCTTATCCTCTTTTGCT